AAGCTGATGGGGACTTACTCTGAAGAAAATACAATGCAGAAGTGACCTCACAGGGGGACAGATGGAAAGTCTCATTTCTTTTGAATGAATGATACACTCTCCCTCTAGTTCAGTTCCATTCTTAAGCCACCAGGCAGATGTTCTTTATTCCTCAAATACACTTTTCAGTCTGCTCCCCATTTAAAATGGAGGGGAAAAGTCCCACTCCCAGGGCGCTCTGCTTTGAGTATGACACTGACGCCAAGTGGTGGCCTGTGAGGGCTCACAGGGGCTGGGACGGGGTGATCTCGTGAGAAAGATATAAGTCAAGGTGACAAACTGAGTGTCAACAATCATTGACTGTGAGAGTGGGAAACGAATAGGGGCAAAACGAGTGCCACAGCTGCTTTCCAAATAATGCATCAAGTTCACTCTGCTAAGAAACTTCCATTTTGCAGCAGTAGAGAAAAACAAGCAAGCAAACAGAGAAAAGAATAAGTTTTTAAAGTGAGGAGGCCTAGCTTAGCAGTGAAAAAAAGAGATTTTTGTAAGATTTTGTAAGTCCTATCCCTATCTCCTCTAAAGTAGCATCAGCCAGGTCACACAGTGAGTTCTTAGTTTACTTTTAATTAGGTAAAAATAGTAAAAACAGTTTACATTCAAAATTACTTTGATGGACACAGCAGGGTCCACAGTAGTAACAGCACAGTGAATGAAGAGGTGAAATTTCAGAAGAGGATGGGCACAGCATTTCGTCACATGGCATCAATTACGAATCTGGGAAAAAAACTATTTGTCATGGGGTGCCCTTCTTACTTGGAATAAATAAGGTACCTATTGGAGTATTTTATTGCTCTTAGTTTACATATTTTGATCACCTCTATGCTATTTTTTTAATGCCAGCTAGCATTTATTTTTCAATGTATGAATTCACCCTGCATAACACCATAGTATTTCCCTACTGAGAATACAGTTCAGCTTACAGAAAAGAAATTTTTCTTTTTAAATTGTTAGGTCTCATCAAATGGATTTTTGTCTTCTCTTTAATAATTTTGACTCCTACTGGTCACCCAAATTACAACTTCTGTTCCAAAATGGTAATTAAAAAGATGTTTCCAGTATCAGTTATATAAGAAAATCAGGTAAGTACATAAAGATGAACATGGTCCTACAGAAATAAACTATTAAGTAGGTATATATTAAACATTTTACTAATTTGGGTTCTAAGAAATGTCCTACTGAGAATACGCATTAATGCTTTACAAATATAGGGAATGTTTCACATGAAAGTCACATGCTTTAGAATTTATGAGAGAAGATTATTAATTCACCTTAAACACTGCTTATTAATTTTAATGTTGTTTGGCAAATATTTCTCTTTTAAGTGATTCATTTTCTCTTTGAATGTACTCTCAGGAAGGACCTTTATAAAATTTTGGACTATTTTAAGAGTTTGATAGGTTGCTCAGCAACATGTGAAATTAAGCTGTGTTTTAATCTCCATGGCAAGTATCTGTGAATGGCAGCTCTTGTAAATTTGTATCATTTTTCATCAATTTTCCTCTTATAAGCATGATAACTAAAATGTATTTGAGAGTCACAAATCCAAGCAATTGAAATCCTTTCTTGAAAGTTATGTTTAGTCTTTTCTGTTCAGTTCAGCTCAGGACTGGGCTCGGACTGCCTTGTTAGGAGCTATCTGTGGAACAAGTGCAAACTCTCCTATAACATGGTGCTGTGCTCGCAGTAACAAATCAATTACTCCGATCTTATAAAAGCAAAGTGAGTCACTTTTCTTCCAGTGAGCCTTTTTGGTTTTGTCTGTCAAATATAAGACCTGTTGCTGTTGGTATACTTCGCTCTTGAGGCTCCAGTTAGCTTTGTGGCAAGCACCTAGTGACCTTTCAGCTACATTTGATACTACTCCTACTACTTCGAGAGAACGTGTTTCCCAGGAAGAAAGACATTTGGAAATCCTGTGTTGACATCAAGTGATTTCCACCACTGCTACAAAGATAGCTGCATTTGGATTAGAATCTAAGTGATCTCAGGTGATGATAATAGCATTATGGTTGTGTGGTTTGGCTAGACAAAGAGAAATTCCTCCTCTCACTGCACCAGCCATGGTCAGGCTTAGTCTCTGCCTACAAATGATTTCATCACACTGGATGTTTCAGCTTCTTCATCTCCCACATTGACGTGACAGTATTCTCTATAGAAGACAACCATTTAGTATGTTAGTTAGTGCCCTGACCCTGATATTTCTGTTGGGACCCCTTAAGGATGTACAGCAAGTGAAAAAGGTGCCATGCTGCTCTCTTGTGCGATGACAAGGCAATCAAACACATGCTTAAGCTTCTTGATAGTGATGTTACCCATACACAGACTCTACAGCCTATAAAAGGAATTACAAAAATCCAGCTGAGATATAATGAAAACATGAATTAATGACTTCACATCCTTCTGTGAGAGTCCTGGTCTCAGCTTTTCTGATCCCTAGAGATGCCAGCATGACACTTCTGATATATTCCAAGCAAAAAAATTCAATGAATGATCCTAACATTATGTTGAAAGTGGCATGAATATAAAACTGGCAATTCAGAATCAATGTGTTTTTTTTCAGATTTTTAACCCCAGGAAATATTCAGAAATACAGGGCTGACTGGCACTTTGATGTATAGGTGAATCAGTAACAGTGACCCCAGGGTCTTATGAGATGAAGATGGAACTTTTATGTCAGCTTCCTAACAGTGGTTTGCCATTGATATGGAGCATGACAAAGCTGCTCTCCCAGGACCTCACTATATAACCAGGCTGGGCAAAAACACTTAACTGAAGTTTAGAAAACAAAACAAAACAAAAGACTGAAAACATTTTGGACAACAGTAAATCTTCAATGCTTGTAACAAGCCCAACAAACCTGCTAGGGAGGGAAAAAAAAAAAATAACCCAACAACCCAAGAAGAATATTCCTAATATTCCCATCTAATTCTCAGCAAAAGATTTCAGAAGATGATGTCTTCACAGTGATTTCCAAGTGAGAAGCAAGGTTTACTGCCACTGCTCCTACAGAAGTTTTCACTGAGAAGTGATACCTTTATTCCAGAGACAAAATGTTTAAAACTTGTCAATGCTTCCAAAGGGAAATAAAGCTGCTTTTCTGCCTTAGAAATCCTGCGGGCTGCCATTGTTGACACAAAACTCAGCCTTGACCGAGCTCCTGAACGCTCTGCAAGCTCAGTAGGGTGGTGTAGTTGTTTTGTTTCTTTATAAGCGTGGCAAGTTTCCTACTGTAACTGCTACCACATGTAAATGATCTTGGCAAGAGCGAGGCGTATGGGATCCAGTCTGAAGAAGGACCATGTCACTGCCTGGCAGGCAATTTCTATTTTTCCTGAAGCCCAAAACACATCTTTCCAGCCTCTGCTAAGTGTTACTATTTCTGAGGATATTTGAAGCAGGTAAACTGGTAGGCATGCTAGAAAGGAGACAAAAAAGGACTCTGAAAAAAGCCTCACACTGACCTTGAGGCACAATACTGAGGGCTCTCCAGGCAGGTTTTTCTTCCTCAGTCCAACCACTCATGGCAGACAAATACATTACTCGTAATTACATGTAATTGCTTACAGGACCCTAATAGCAAAACTATGTTAGACACACTGCCAGAAATATAGCGCCAAATGCAACCAGATGAAAATCATAAATTTTCATTGTTAGCACTTGCTCTCAAAGTTATCCACACTGCTCAAAGTTTTGTCTGCACTAGGATTTTTTTTTTTTTCAAAGTTATCGATGAACTATTAAAATCAAGCCAACACAAAGTTCTTCTGTTAGCATGTCCTAGCTGGAGGAGACAACTTAGAAATACAATTTATTTTCCCTTACCAGAGTTTTAGAAAGTGTCAGTGTGACAGAACAATTTTGAGGGAGAAAAAAGGATGTCATGAAAGAAAGCAAACTTCTCCATTGCTGCTTTAACTCCATAAAACTCTCAGCTTAACCTACTCCAATCCTGTGAAAAATCATGCACCATTCACAGCTGCTCAGCAACAAACCTGTTTTATGTACTTGGAAACTACTATAATCAGTAATTATTATATCAGAAAGATACAGGTATCAGTGTTTGATAATGGATTGCAAATGTTTTCTATGCTGTCAATTGAACTATAACTTACATTCCCAACAGGCCCTGAAATGAAGGAAAATTCTCAGGTCTTCTGTGTACTGTTATTAGTAAATTGTACTAAAAGTTTGTCTGTTTGTAAAGGGTATTTTTATGAGTGTTTGTTCATTCCTTCATTTGTCTTCAGCCCCATTAAAAGCTACCATATTAAGTGGAGAAAGTGGAGTTCAGGTTGGTCAGTTTTTCTTTCGACTCTAGCAGCTATGAAGATTCTGAACCTCACATTTCCCAATGACTCAATGACAGAGTCAACACACAACTAGAGATGTGCAGCATTAAAAAATAGCCTTTCCCTGGGGAGCCACGTTTTGCTACATTCACAAGCTCTTTGCAATGGAATAACCAGAAGCCAGATTCTGATTTCAATTACAGTGGCCTAATTTACCTGTCTTCAAAGCAGTGACTGTAAGTTACCTCATTGTAATGGAGATCAGAGTTCTGACTAAGTATTCCATTTATGCACCCATATAAACATAATACTAACTAGAAAGTGAGAACAAGACTAACATCTTAAGTGCTTATTTCCATTTGTTGCTTACATGGTAAATTTATTGCAATGATAAGTGTTTTTTTCTCATGTCCTCACTTTATCTTCACCTTTGTTCTTCAAGAGGGTTATTGATTTCTCTCCTCTTCAAACACTGTATGATCTGGCAAGTCAAAGGGAATCATTTCAATGGTGAGGAATGGATCAGGACAGAACCCTGAACAGCAGAAATAAAGAAATGCCGTTTCTGGGTGAGCTTGTTGTTGCATAAGCTGTGCTGTTGTATGTGAAGAACCCCAAACCCTCTCCATGGACTACTGTCAAAGGCAGCTGGTGTGAAGAAATGCCTACCTGAAGACGGCAAGGCTCAGGGACCAGACCACTAGTGGTTTCCTCAGTTCAAATTTCGCCCGTTTGTTCATTAGGTGCCGACCACCAAATATAAAGGCAGCATACAGAGCAGAAAACAGGAATGATTTCTTCCTGCAAAACAAAACCAAACAACACCTGTAAAGTATTTAATTAGTATTAGATACACAGCAGAGTCACATCTGGATGTAACTGCCAAAGGCTTGTGTGTTTCTTTGAAAAGAAACTCTTTTGAAGACACTCCTGCAGCCTAGCTGAGACCACCATTAGTGCACGAACCTACCTGCCTGCACATAGGGCCAGGGCCAGGTACAGGCAAAACCGATCCTGGGGAAGTTCTGAAGAAGGACAGCCAAATTTGGCTCCCATTCTCCCCCTGTTTATGAAGCCTGAACTTACATGAGGAAAAGAACAGACATTGCAGACCCCAGACATACTTCTGCAAGCACCAGCTGATCATGTTCTGTAGCTCATTTATCTTCCTCATATCAATTTTTGTTTCCTGCAGTCTCCTCACTACCTGGCAATTCGTTTTCCCATTGTTTCCTCCAAGAAGACACTAAAGACCTTGAGCACTGCAATACAACATGAAGAGGCAAACCTGTGAGGTCAACAGACCCATTAAGCAGTAACCATGCTGGGTGGGAAGCTGGCTGGGTGCCTGCAAGTGCTGGTTCAGGAAATCTAGTAGTGCATTTGCTGAAAGGTCAAGCAGGGTTTTGTTAAGGAACTACAATGATACTCTTAGAATTGCAAGTTTTAAAAATAAAACTGCCTGATAGTAGTCCAGCCAGCAATAATCAGCAAACATTTGAACTCTGCTACTATAATTTATTGTAAATCAACCCTCAAAGGTCAAAAATAGATTCAGCCTGGGATTCCTTCCCATGCAGCACAGTATTACCTTGACTAAGACTTAATGATGTACAGCATTAACGGTGGCCTAACTGAATGGCAGTATATTTAGGAACAGATTTTTCTCTACTAAATCTATAATTATACTCATAAATATCATCAGACTATGGCTTTGCACCAAGAGGTTCTGGTTCTTTCTGGAGCCCCCCAAAAGAAAAACAAACACTCTCAAGACAGGTAACTACAGCATTAATATCCCAGGAAAGCTGACGGCGAGCTATAAGATCTTGCATTCCTTCTGACCTCAAGATGATGCAGCCTCAGACAGACCTGTGATCAAGGCATGGAACACTGCCCAGACTTCCCATCAGGGCCTAGGTTCACCCAGGTTGTGGTCTTTAGAGTTTTTATGGGATATTCAATTGGATGTTTATATGGAAGTATGTTGCTTCACCTGAAGATAAAGAGAAGGATGTGCTCATGGTGTCACTGCTGGTGTCACCTCAAGGTTCTTCTGTTATGATTAGCCAGCTGAGGGTACCCCATGGCAAGGGACATGGGCAGCACAGCACAGTCCTGAAGGCCAAGCAACGCGTGCAGCACAGTATGGCAGAGCACAGTACATATCTGTGCCTGCTCAAACCACCTGGTACATGGATCACGAGCTCCTCAATGGGCAAGGGCCTTCCCGTGAGGGCCAGACAACACTAAGAAAAGCTGTAGCAACACCTCTGATTGGAAGTATGGAGAAAGCACATGCAGCCTTTACTGGAGATAAATGAGTTTTATGAGTTTGAAAGCTAAGCAGAAGTTAAGTCCAAGGAGAAAGAGGCACATCAGCATGCACGTAGCAGCACACCATTTTCTTCCTGAAAATCTGACTGGTGCTCTGCACTGAAAAGGGAGGACGCTGCACCTGCGATCCCCAGGCTAAGCTTTAGCATCTGCCCTGGCAACAAGCACCAGGAAGTCCAAGGTGACCACAGAGCCAGCACCCTCTCACCTTACACATTGAGATGGTCCAATTGCCATGGCAATGTTTAGCACAATCAAGTTCTGAAAAACACAAAGCCTTCGCTCTTAGTCATCTCACAGTAAAGAAAAAAGCATTCATTTCCACTTCTGTGGTCTTGAATTTCACAGTCAGGGAAGGGACAGAATTACCATATATGATAGCATGATTGCAGTTTAGCTTAGCTGGATGACTGTAAATATTTGTTAACCAGTCTGGGTAGTGACAAACCACCTCAAACTTGCTCACACCGAACTGCCTAAGTGTTAAGACAAGATTTATGGGTTGCAGGACAGGAGCAGACTCCCAGTGTGAGGCTGGGCTGCATTCCCATCTCCCGCCCTCTTGCAGTCTCTTCAGCAGTGGAGTGCAGAGCATCTCATTGCCAAGCTGGGCACAGGCGAGGGAAGGCAGAGGGAGTGTGATGGGCTGTACCACAGCATGCAGTGCTGTCCTGGCTGTCCTGGGGTATCAGAAGAGATGACCACTCTTCATGCTTCTGGCCTTCAATCCCACAGAAGTCTGAGCATACAGTGCCAAGCACAGGGCGCAGTGCACACAATGAGATATGGAGATAAGCAAACATGTACAGCCACTCGAGCCAGGTCACGTGCAGGGGCTCCACAGGAGGGACTCTGCAGCCCCACACCACGAAGGATGTGCAAACCTCCCCACCTCATGGCACTGCAGTGGGAGTCCCTCACGCCAGAGGCAAGAAAGGTCTGTCTTGCACTGCCCCACGCACAGAGCTCCAAAGCAGCCAAGAACAGTGCAGGACGCCACCTCGAGCAGTGCAGATGACATCTCGGTGCAGGGGAAAAGACTGTGCACAGTGCTGGCATGCAGCTGCCAACAGGACATGGGCTACATAGGCCAGCATGCGAGCAGGTCAGGATTTAAGAGCAGGAGCTAGAAATGCTTTGCAGGAAGGCAGGCAGGCAGAAAACAGTTCAGTTCTGGATCAAATACAACCAAGACTTCAAAACAATGGTTCGACTTCAATTTCAATTCACGAAACTGTCTAAATGAGGAAGCAGCTCAGGTCTGTGCTCTGTTTGACTCCCTTCTTCCTGGGCAGGATACTATATTTATACCAAGTAACATTTCATTTTGCTTCATATTACTGAAACTATTTTGTGTGAATTCAGTCTATTGAGGTCAATAGTTACATTACACTAATTAGAACAGATAAATTTTAGGTCACTGTTAACAGCTTTGTAATGAGTTCAGCATTATTTGCAAAGATGGCAGTTGTGCAGCTTTGTGTTGGTGGTGGCAGACACAAGAGTTGACTAGGAGGGAAGTAGTCATATTATCTCCTATCTGAGGTAAGCACAATACTGAAAAATGATGAGGCTGACTTTGAAATCATGTCTCTGTTTTGACATCCCCTGACAACTTTTAGTAAATTTTTGCATCTAAGAGACTTCGAATTTTGCCCTCTTTGCAGCACAGTAATGGTTAAAAGGACTGAGTAGTCCAGGTGATATAGTTATAAAGGGGTTGCAGAGGTATGTACTCAAGATAATCTGTTTAACTGCATTAGACTGGTATTAACCATCTTCCTAGCAGTGTTTTTATGAAGAATCTTCCTGAAAGGTTCATGACTACAGTCTGGTTCCTGGGTTGGTGACACAAAGAGATGGCAATCTGATAGCATTCAATTATACCTGTACAATACGGGTTTAGCCAAAGGAGGCTAACATCAAATGAGTATTTTTAAAGACAGAGTTTTGTAGGTGTTCTGGAGCACTGTAACTTTTCACTACTGTTATCTGAAGACAAACTAAACAGAGCAGAACAATGACAAAAAAATTAACCTTGAAACTAAGAAAATAAAAAATCCCCCAAAGTAATTCAGTAGCAGACTTGCATCCAATAACTTCAACGTTAGCACATTCCTATGTTTGTCTTCAATTCTGTTCTGCAGGGTGACACAGTAGACATGAAGACAGGGCTGCCAAATCCTCCACATTTTTTTCTGGCATTTCTGTTTCTCACAGTTGTCTCCCACCTTCCTACATTTTCAAATTTCAGGGACTAAGTACTATCTCTACAGAATACAACTCCATGTTTCCTGATCAAAAGGGAGGCAGCGGAGTTTTCTGGAGAAGCTGTGAAATACTCTGCTTGGGCTGGGGGCTTTTACAAGAAAAGGAGGCAAAAGTTTGGGGCTATAGGCTGAAGATGTGAGGCAGATCTTCCAGGACATTAGCACAGAGGTGGCCATATCACGATGCAAGGAGACAGGCAGAAGCAGCTGACATGATGGAAGAAACAGAACAGAAAGGATCAGTGATAAGTACGGCAGCAAACGAGGGGAGCTGGCGGCCAAGAGATGGCTGTGAAGCTCGGGCAGCATGGAAGAGAAGGAAGCTTGAAGTCCTTTCTCTGTTAAAGCCCCTGGAGGGATGCTTCTTGCACCCATGGGCACACCAACATGCTCAGGCTGCCCACACTGAACACAGCTTCAGCCACTCTCCTGCCAAAATCCTACAACAGAGACAGGTGGTATTATCCTGGGCCTGGACGTAGCCCATGGCTTCTGTTTGTCCCTCTGTGCTGTGTATACCATGGGCAGGTGATGTGTTTTATCAAGGCTGGATGAATATCTGGGCACTGATGTGGTTTTTAGAAGCTGAAATCCTTTATTAGGTCTGCTCTAGAGCAGAGGAATGGAGACAGGAGAAAGGAAAAGAAAAATCAGTATGACTGAGAAGAGAGTGGCAGAAACTGGGGCTGATAAAGGAAGACAGAGGAAATCCCCACCAGGAACAAAGCTTCTCCTCGTTTGCAGACAGGGAGTCCCACTCAGGAAAGCCCACTCAGGATGGGGATATATCAGCCATCCAGCCTCAGGCAGGAAAACACAACATGGAAAAGGGCAGCAAATAATCCAAAGAGGAAAGCAATGGTAAACCGACAGCTAAGGAGTAAGAAATGGTAAGTATGTATTTATAATATAAAAGTAAGTATGGTATTTATAATATACTGGGAGTATAACAACTACCACAGTTTTCTAAAATAAGGGTCCAAAGCCTGAGGGTGAGCCTTATGCACAGCAGCATGAAGACACCCTGGCATCTCCGATGCAAAGTGAAATAGACCTGAACACTGCAGTGCCTCTGAAGGAGGTGGTTTCAGCCCAGATGCACTGTTATCCTTTTTTTCTCCTGAAAATAGCAGCCTGAGTCATTGTTGTAGAGTTCTCTGATGTTAATGAGAAAACTGAAACAGATAC